TGCCTCAAACTTTTCTTGCTATCTAAAGATGTATGTGCAACACACTCTAAGAATTTTTGTTTTCTTGCCTGATAATCTTTGACACACTTAACACTCTCTTTGAATTTTCCACAGCTAAATCTACTTCTTTCAATCCCTCTTGCACAATCAAGTTTAGAATATGAGCACAACAACGAATATGAAAAATTCCATCATCACCAAGCAAAGCATCTATCAAATTAAGTTGATTCTTAAGCATATCAACCATGACATCATTTGTAGAAGCATTATTCAAAGTAATTGAAAACAAATTTTTCTCAACCCCCCATTTTGTCAACAAACCATAAATCTTGTCAGCCAGTGTAATGCCATTGTGTGGAGAAGGCATGTAAGAGAAATTCAAAATTCTTTTTTGCAATACCCAATCTTTGTCTATGAAATGTGTTGTAAGACTAAATACTCATCGGTAGCAATAGATGTCCACAAATCAGAAGTCAAACTAATCCTGCTAAGTATGTCATGTAAGATAACAGACAACCTACACATCTATTTTGCATGCAATTTCATAATATCAACCTTAACCGTGTTTCTTGTAATAATTATGACATCTGGATTTAAGTAGCTAAAGATTTGTCTAACACATTCATACTCAACAAATTGAAAGGGCAAATCATGTCTAATTATTGCACGTATTAACATCTCTCGAAATTTTTTCTCGTTAAACTTCAAAGGCCGTGTAGTAATAGACCCTTGAGTTTGACTTAAAATTAACTAGCTCACATCACGTTGTTTCAAACAAGTCTCTAAATGATGCCATAAATTACCAGTTTCATACTTACTAGCAGTATTATACTCAATCTTACATTTGTTGCATTATGCCTTTATAACATTGTCTTCATTTACATACTTTCTAAAAAAAACCTCATACCTCTAATGTGGAAGTATATTGCCACTTTTCATCATTCTTATTATCTCCATTTTCTGTATCTGGTTCAGCATGGGATGTATTCTCAATATTGACATCCACTGTCGATTGACTACATGATGTATCCTCCATTTTCCTTGCAAGATTATTTGACAATTAGAAACCTAATGAACATTCAAAAAATTCAAAAGTAACTTAAAGCTAAAGCTAAAACAAATAAATACAATTACATAGCATCAAGACAAATCAATAAAAACTAGTACTAAAAAAAATCTAAAGCTCTAAAAAAATCTAAAGGCAGTACAAGTAAGCATTCATAATATGTTGTAAGGGTTAGGGCTAAGAGAATGGACTGATCTGTGAAAAAGGAGATTGTTGTTGGGGTTGAAGTTGGAACGATGACTGTTGTGGTTGTGGTGTAAACTAGAATGCCATTTTCAAATAATGGCAAACTCAAATAGAGGGAAGGAGGCTGGAGGCGGCGGGTCTGGACTCTAGACGAAAATAGGAAAATGTAGTTAGGGTTTGAAAAAAATAATTAAGTTCATTATATAGTGGTGGGTCAATTAGGGTCAAAACAGGTCAGGCGGGTTTATGTCAACCCAATTAAATACATGGGTCAATTGGGTCAATTCGTGTTAAACGGGTTGAACCCGAACACGACTCATTAACACTTCGTGTTGACGGGTCGTGTCTTACACGGGTTTATACCAAAAAATATTTAACTCAAACCCATTTATTCGTGTCGTATTTGTATCGAGTTATCGTGTCGTATCAAAAATTACCACCCCAATTAAATACTTCTGCTCGATGCTTGACACCTACGCCTGAGCGTTCACTGCTCGGGAATAAGTGCCCCTCGGATTTCGCCGAAGACATGGAGTCGGCGTCACGATAATTAATACCTTATAATGATGACTTTTCTCACACTTCTCGAGGACCTGGATGCCGGTTGAATGACTTGCAGCCACTCAAGACCCTATTTAATGAGTTGTCATATCTCCTTTAATGCTAAGCCTTTATGGGTGTACTTGGCATCTCAGAGGCTAGGTGCTCTTTGTGGTCCATAACGATTATAACTGTCCACGTATCAACTTAGGGCTATTGAACCACCTAAAGTCCCATCACTTACCATGGTTTCCCAATTTGATTTTTCGTAGTTACGATACATTACATCACTCATTTGAATAAAATAAATCTCATTTGAATTCATGGTAATTTAGAGCGAAGGCCAAGAGCATCTGGTACTAGAGAGTATCCCAATCCATTTGTAAAGAGTTTTTCTTAACATTTCTCCTTGCTAGGTTCAAAGGAAATAATAGCACAAATCAATTCAGTGGTTGTTTTCAAGCTAGTCTTAACTCCATGTGTAAATCAAATGATAACAGGGATGAGTTATAAACCAAACGTCATGAGTTCAAATTTTGACAATTTTTTGAGGCCAGACAATGATGAATTTATCCCTCATGAATATCCTAGTTCCAACATAGATGATCTGCCTTTGACAGGAATAGGAAGGAAATTAGTCGAGGTACGTGTAAACTTACTCAAACACCGTTGACCATTGAACCAACAAAAAAAAACAGCTAGCCTCTTTCATAATTTTTGGGCAGTGGGCATTGTCATCTGGCCAGAACTCTTGGAGATTGGCATAAAAGCGATCTTAAGAATCTGAAGATTGAGTCTCCAAAAAAAGAGAACACATTGTTCTATAGGGACTAATTGTTAGAGATTCGAGACCAATCTCAACTAAAACTGTCTGTTCTAGTCTTGACATTTATGATGTGGCTCGGATCTATAATGATTGCCAACAGTCCAATTCTGTTCAAGTTTGCAGGTACAGTTTATATCTGTTCCTTCTAATAAACGCAACCATCTTTGGACTTGGTTTGATCCTGCAACAATTACTGTATCATAAATAATAGTAGGATTTTATTTTATTTTTTTGGCACTTTTACTTTTGTAATCTGGAAAGACCACTTGGCTGTTAATCTTTTTCTAATCAATTTACTTAGATTTTGTAAAAAAAAAAAAAAATTGATCGTGTCGGAACTCACTATATGTCGGTGGGTCTCCATCAATACACAACCTGATGATCTAATCTGATTAAATTTTTTTGAAAAAAAGTGTATTAGAGGATATTTGAATCTCGTGTGTACATACCAACAACTCCATTTCAGTTGGTGCAAATTCGACACAATACAAAGTCAGCACAACTAAACATTTCCTTTCCACCTCCCACCCCCCCAGCCTCACTCATACAATCTGGTACAGACCCACAAATTGTACATAGGAGATGGATCCCGCCACATTTTCGAAAAAAGTGTAGAGGAACCAGCCTGTAGGCAATGGGGGTATCATTGCCAACGACGGTATGATAAGGAGGAAGGAGGGTTTTCTACACCTTTTCGTTACCACCCCCTAGTTGGCAGAGAGAGACAGAAGGGTTGCTAATGAGTCAAGCTGCGTCAACTTCTTAACCATTTTGTGTCGAGAATTGCTCAACTCATGTCTAACTTATCTATAGTTATATATTTTCAGACACACAGTTTATATTTCTTGTTTAGTTGAATTCATATTGTCTTGACTGGGTTTCAAATTATTCCCTTTATTAAAACAGATCTACTTGTTTACTACCCAAATTGGTTAAGATTAAAACCAAAGCAACTAATTTTTTTTTATCGATTTTGTGTTGGACTTGTGAGTCCTATCTAAAATTTCAGAGAGAGAAAGAGAGAGGGAGCAAGCAGTAATCCAAATAGGGCCTCCAAGAAAAGTATTGAACACTGTGCACAACTCAATCAGCTCTTATAGAACTTGGGTATGCATAAGTTTCAACTTGCTAAAAGTTACCATCTACAGAAGACTACAAACCAAATGAAGCCTATGACCCAAATAGGGCGCTCTGGTGGGTGGGTTCATAAAGACGGCAGTGCAAGGACATCGTATAATCTTCATGCAGGCGGCGCCGATCTACGACAAACCACAGCAGTAAGGTCTAGTTGCAGATTCATCTTGCAGTATTTAATGGAAAGCCAAGCAACTCAAGTTCCTCCAGAGATCTGCATTATTTCTATAACTAATACCACAGCTACTATTAAATGTAAGATGAACAGTATTTCTTGGCGAATCAACTGAAGTCTCATAAAAAACCACCAACTCTGAATCTGTGTGTGCATGTTTAGAGGCCAATTCGATGCATTTTTCACAACAGAAAATCAAACACCTTTAAGGATATCTTCACCAAATATATTATGCTTTCGGGATGTGAACCGTATCGGTTTGCATTCTGTAATGACATGGTAGAACTTCATACACCCCCTGATATAACCAAGTTTACAGGAACGTCTCTTTTCAAACCAAAGATGTCAGTCTCAGATGAAATTTGGAAAGAAATTCATCATATCAAAGAGAGAACATATCTACTTTAAGCGAACCTTACATGTGATTCACCATCAAGCCAGTCATGAAGAACATATTACAATCACAAGCATAGCACAAGTAACAAAATTGACCATAACTATGGTACTAGGCATGGCCGTACCCCCTAGTAGCTGAAGGTTGGGGACATCGGGGAGAAAGAGAGAGGGAAACTCCATAGTACAATGTTCCTTGGTTTCACATAGTCTAGACTATTAGATTCTATATGGAAAATAACCACATGTTAGTACCAGATGAAGGAAATTAACATAGTTGAAAGGTAATGTGTGAGGTCCGTAGCTTATTTTCCACCCAAAACAAATAGCCGTTTGAATTGCAACAATAGTGCCTTAACTAGCCAAAATAAAAAGGTGTAATAATAGAACCTGTGATGAGATTTAAGAGAAAAAAATAAACCTCATGTGAAACACTTAACAGTGCCCGTAGCAGAAACAATAAAAGCATCTTCTCTAGTCTTCTGCAAAGGTGTAATATGAAACAAGCCCAAAATACAGAGCAGTGAAAATTATATGGACATAGAGGACACATACCTACGGCCAAAAACCAACTAAGATGACATCCTCCACAATACCAACTTATTTGAGATGTACAAGCTGTATGATAAACCCCAATTAAAACCTTCTGGGAATGCTGACAAAAAGAGACAACAGATGCCTTATTTCAAAACCCCTCTTCCTCTCCGCTCTTTCAAATTGCTGGGGATGATAGATACAGAATCCACACAAAGACCACCTTTGGAGTGTGTACAATCAATCTGTTTCATTGAAAATCTCACCTCAGTTGCTGGATTTGATTCATTGACAATGAACTCACCAACCTTGTACTCTATCCAACATCCGCGCTTTTGGTCTCCATTTGAATCATCATGTTCAGTCTCGCCTAAACAGCATTCGCTTGATGCTTGCTGACCATCTGAAGTAGACATCTCAAATCGTACTGGCTTTATATCCCAGCCATGGGTATGGTCAAAATTACAAACACGTCGTCCAAGCCTTTTGGAAAATCTTCCAAGGTGAATCCTGCATGACAGAGTATATATATCAGGAGGAAAAGGGAACTTAACCATCCCATCTACTTCAAACCACCATATTTGCTGCAAATAGGCCACAACATGGAACCTGCAACAAAGTAGCAATACAAGAAACATACGGTCAATATCGAATGAGCTTTATCCTCTGCAAAAATAAAGCAGAAGAAATGAGCACAGCAAGCTGATTTAACTGGCAGACAGTTGCTTAAATTTAGTGGCACAAAATCATATCAAAACATTCATTTTCCATTTTGCACAGCCATGGAGAAAACAAATTAATGAACTTCTGTCATCCTTTACAAACTATTCACTTTTAAAACAATGAACTTCTGTCGTCATAAATAAACCATTCATTGTTAAGCATAGAATTTCAGTAATAAGTTTCTGCTGTTACATATAATTCGTTCAACAACGAATGCGAAATGTTATTCCTTGTGAGCTCATCCTCAGGTCAGACCAAAGTTCGGCTGTATGAACGAGAGGAGATTGACCGGATGTTTGAGACCATGAAGTATAAAGACTACAGAAATTGAGCAATGCTATGCTTCCCAAATTGTATCCCAAAAAACTCATCCCAAATGAGTTGGCACATTCACACACCACACACTATGGGCCCCTAAATCAACTTTTTCATAAAATGTGTGGTGTGTGAAAGTGTCAACTTATTTGGGATGAGTTTTTTGGGATACAATTTGGGAAGCATAGCATTACTGATAGAAAATAGCATATGTAGACTCACTCGAGGTCAGCCACACTCAAGAAAAACAAAATCTTGATTTCGCATAAGAAAGTTGCAATTAACCAATGTTAATAATTTACCCTCCCCACCCACCCCCCCCCCCCCCAAAAAAAAAAAGAAAAACCCACTGTTAAAATGATGTAGAACAAAAATCAACCCAAAATGCATATCCATTGTTGAAATGACATTGTTAACCTTGTGTATTAATTTGCTAAAATCATCAATACTTATAATTCAACAATTAAATTTTTAGCACCAATTTTTTCGATTTATCATATAGCACATGATGTATACCTATCAAAGCATGAAGATAATCACTAACTTCCCCACTCTAGACTGGGCTAATTTCTTCCGAAAATTCATTTTATGAAATCCAGTATTCCACCAACTTGAAGCTTTCAAAATTTCAAGCAATCAACATCACAAAAAAGACGTCCATTTTCATTCAAAAGTTATAAGATTATGGATTCAATACCAGCATGAGACAGAATGGATGCAGATTTCAAGCTACAAAGAGCAGCAGAAAATTATTTCTTTTTTAATAAGTAGCACCAAACAATTTTTCCAGATTAGTGGAATCTAACCTAGATTCTTCAGTAGGAACCCAATTCCAGTATCTGCGGTCTTCGATCCCGGTTATTGTCATAGCCTTTACTGAGATTGACATGCAAACTCTTCCAGTAACCCTATCAAACCATACTTCCTGTAATATATCTGATGTCAGAAAATTACACATTTATTAATAACCAACACTTCTAACCCAAATTAAAACTGCTCCATCACCTTTATTTCTAAAACAAATCCAAGAAAACAGACTTAAATCAGTGCCAGAAGAACAACAGACACAACAAAGTGACTCACAACTCTAGTTTTCTTCAAACATAAAGAAAATAAATTTTAAATGATAACCAACCTCCACCCCAAAAAAACAGAGTAAGATTGATCCTAATACATTTTTTCTTAACTTACAATGAGTTCAAGTGCGACTTGTTGTATATAAATTGCTAAGCTGTGTTTATCCGCCACAGTTTATTACAAATGGAAGGAAAGGCATTTGAGAATTTTTTGCAACTCTTGTAAGGATTCAAATACAACATTGAAGATAATTAACGAGATGATTACAGGGAGATTGTGCTTATTGAAGATTTAAAATCCCTCTTCAAACTGGCAGTTGATACCGAATTGGATCCTTAGAGACTATGTTGTGGGATATGATCCGTCTGGCTGATATGAAGGCTGCTATGGACTGTTCCTTCTATGATGCTTCAGAGGGGATATATGGTAAAAAAAAAAACTGACCCAAAATCTTCCTTGCTTCATTCTTCTAAAATATTTATACACTACGATGCCAAAAATCAGATACCATTGCGAAAAAAATATTCCCCCAAATCCCTAATTCCCCTCCAATTTAACAAAATAAAAACAAAACTAACTCTTCCAAAAACTTTATCTCACTCGCATCGAGAAAACAACAAATTAACAAGTATGAAACTTCAAAAAAAAAAAAAGAATTAAAGAAAAATCTGAAGTGACACTACAATCTTGAACCAGATAGTAAGAATAACATGAGTAAACCAACCTTATTGCCATCATCGAAAGGTACGGAGCGAGAGAAAAGGGCAAAGATGTCCTTTTTGAAGAGGTTTTGGTACCGCTCATGAGGCATTAGGTCGAGCAGATCCTGGTAGTTGGGTGGAAGCTTCGATTCCCAGACGGAATCGGAGTCGGAGGCGCCACGGAAGGCGCGGTTGAGCCTTGCAAGGTTGCAAATCTCCGGCGGAGTCAAGTAGAGGAACACGCAGGCGACACAGCTCTCCGGTATGTCTCCGAGACCCGGTCCTCCGCCGTTGGACACTTCCGTCAGGTTCGACAACGAGGCACCCATGGTGTCTAATCTAGTGGTGTTTCCTTTTGTTTAATTCATTGTTCCGCTGGTGGTGGGAGGCGACGCCGAGCACGGTGGGGTGTCAGTGGTAGCGGTAGCGGGAAGGAAGTGGTCACTAGCCTGTCTAGCTCTGCAGTAATTGGGGTAGAGAGAGAGAGAGAGAGAGAGAGAGAGAGGCTTCAAGAGGGGGAGGTGATGAATCGGGAGGGTTTGACTGAAAGTGTATGACAGAAGAGAGAATCTTCTTGCGTGCCTTTCTTTTTTTCGGTGCTGTGACGGGAACCAAGAAAACGTTCCTTGCTGTATTCTTCTTCGTCTCCGTGTATGTAATCTCTCCCGTCTCCGTATACGTGTTCTCTCTCTCTCTCTCTCTCTTTAATTCACTAATATTTTGGTACTATTGCTAAAAAAATATATTTTTTTTTTTGTTACTAATTTTTTTGTGTGTTAAGATTAAAATATTTAAATATTAAATAAAATAGATATGAAATTTTTTAGAATATGTTTTCTTATCAATATCACGACTACATATTTTATAAGGGCATCTTGAATGTTAACTCAAACTCAAACCTAAATTTGAATAAAAAATGAGTAAGAAATTTGATTTAATATAAGATACTCTAATATATAAATTTAAATTTAAAGTAAGGTAAATTAAAATTTAAAATGAGGTGAAATATGACTATCAAATCTTTTAAAAGAATTAAATCTAATAATTAAATATTTGAATAAAAAGTTAAGTCTCTCTTCATTTTGTATAATTTTAAATCAAAGAGAAGAGCTTGTATTTAATATGTTTTTACTTAAATTTTAATTTGAGTAAAAGTTCGGGTATAAAGTGCAAATGGTCTAATGGTTAAACCACGTGATATAACTATTTAATTATAAACAAACAAGTGGACATGTGAACCGCAACTCTTAGGAGTTAAACTTGACTTTTAATAACCCAAAAGTCATAAACTCTCAGATTCAATTTCTTCTCACACTCTCTAAGAGTTAGTCACTTTATTTATCACCTCTAATCTAGTTCAAGTCATAGTTGTAGTTGTCAAATTCGAGAAAGTAGTTAACACAAGTTTAAACACTTTGTTAAAAAAAAAAATAACTCACTTTTTAAATATGTAGTGATGAATATTTTATATGGAGGAATAATTATTTAAAGAAGTATGGTCTCTTCTTTATTGTTTTGGTGATTTTTCAATCCTATGAGTGCAAGTGGATGGTAGGTTTGAGGTTAGAGAAGATGGGACTATATTGGATAAAACAATTTATTTTCCTCTTTCTTAAATTGAACGGCATTTTTTTATTTATTTTAATTTCTCAAATTAAAAATAAAAAATTTTGAATGAAATTTAACATGTCCATGTATTTATATAAATATCTTTTTCATTAAATTTTGACCAAATTATCCAATTTTTTATTCGTTTCCATCAAAGTACTATTAAAACTATGTCCAAAATCAACAATTGTATGCTAGAAAATTAAACAAAAAGGTTGTATGCTTAAATTGAAGGATTCATATTAGTAAAGTAGACACAAAATTATCTATTTGTTATTAATTACTAGGGAGATTTGGTCATAGGTCCAACGAATAGGATATTATTATTATAAGTTTTGTGTTTGGTAGACTACGTAGGAGTATAATTACTTTTCAGTCTCTCGACAATCACGGAGATCCAAAAACAATGGACATTCTTGTCTGCCATAAAGTAGCCAAAAATACATAAAGCCTCTTCACTTTATAAAGGGGCTCAAACTTACATGTGGTATTAAAATATTTGTCTCTAAGGTGGACACAAATTAATAAATTATTGACAAAAGAAAGACAAACCATTGTATTATAACCAATTTATGAGGCTATGCAGTTAGTGTAACGATTATCGTCTTGTTGTTGAATTTTAAAGTCACAATTTCGAATTCTGTCGTTTTCCTCTCTTGTAATTCACTGACAAACCAACCGATGTTTAACATACAAGATTGAAACCTAGAATTTTAAGGAATAATTCAAATGGTAGTAAGGATGAGTTGTAACGTTAAACGACATGAGTTTGAATTTTGGCAATCTATTGGGATTAGGACACAAGGGATTTATCCATCATGAATATCCTACTCTCAACATAGATGATATGTCTTTAACTGGACAAGAGGAGGGAATTAATTGTTATGCGTTTAAGTTAATCTAAGCACCCTTAACCATTGAATTGAAGCAAAAAAATAAAAACCAAATCAATTGAATGTGTTCATACTTCATAATGAAAACTTTTAGTGATTAAAGAACTAATACCAACTTAAGTGCCGGAGGGAGAGAGATTCTTTATAGTATAAGGATGCAAATAACCCAAGAGGGAGACTCTGAAGATACCATAATGCTTCGTTTGGTAGAAATGATGGAAAGTAAGATGGATATACTTTCTATTCTCCAAAAAAAGAAAGTAGGAATAATACATTTTCTTTCGTTTGTGATAAGTAGGATGAATGAAAAATAAAAATGATTAATATTTTCTTTTTAGTATTTGATAAGATGGAAAAATATTTTTTAATTTTTTTTAAAAAATATATAAATACATATTTTATCATTGTATTTATATAAAATTAATGTGTGTATATATATATATATATATATATATATATATATATATATATATATGTCAAAGAATATATAGACAAATAAAATACATTTCAACATAAATAATTAACTTTTCATCCACTTTCCTTCCAATTTTGGAAATATTGATTTTGGGGAGTTAAAAGGAAATATTATTCATTCACTTTTTCATCTTTTTTATTTTCCTTTTTTACAAAACATGATGTTTTATCTATCCCTTTAACTATTCATCATTCCAACTTTTTATCATTCTATTTTTCATCGTACCAAACGGAGATGTGACAACCCGTATTAAAATTAATCATTAACATGTAATTTAAGTCGTTAATTATGATTTTATATAATTAATAATCATTTTTAGAATTTTCAAGTGAACAAATGAACCTCAAATATAAATTCTTTACGTGAAAATTAGTCGAAAGACTATAATATAGGTCATATTTCGTGTTAAAATAAAATGGCTTATTATTAAAGTGATATAATATGTAAGTAATACGTCTGTTACATATAATATATGTAAGTGTGTGTGTGTGTGTGTATAAAGTAGAACGAATGTGAATTTTGGAGACAAATAGTGGTTTAGATCGTTTTGTGACCAAAAAAAACATCATCTAAAAGACGACGTTATCTCAAACTGTCTCGAGCTATTGACGTCTCAAATCGTTTTGATCTGACGTACCACATTAACTCTTTTGAAATTTTTTTGCAGCTCAAAATTTATAGTTTTCAAAATTTAATTTTCTCAAATCTTTTCCTTAATCAAGCAAATCTCTCTCTCTCTCTCTCATTACTCTGTATCTCTCTTTCATGCTCAATTTACGCAAAAGTATCAATTTTTCACAATATTTTTCTCTATATCTCACGAAAATATTAGATACTGTCTGATTCAAGCAAAAACTACATCTCTCTGTAGATAGATAGTATATAACACAGAGAGAAGTAGTATATTAAGAAAATATTCTTCTGTATCTCTCTTTTAAAGAAAATTATGTAATAAATATTAGATAAATAGTATATATCACGAAAATATTCTTTTGTATCTCTCTCTTTCATTCAAACAATACTATAAACACGAATCATATAAATTCATTAGTCAATTTTATTTTTTCCATAATCAATAAAAAAAAGCATAACTTCCAAAAACTCTAATTTAACAAAAAAATATGCTTAACATTAAAATATACAAGATTAAATTCAAGTTATTGGGTAACTTAGATGTCAAGAGTTATATTAAAGAAAATATGTTTAACATTTAAAATATACAAGATTGAATTCATGTACAAACACGAATCATGCAAATTTAATATTTAGTGAACAACACAAAACAACATATTTACTAAATATTTCCAAATCTAAATACCTGAAAAAAATGATACAAAATTACAAGCGAGAGAAACGATACATAATTATAAGCAATACTATGAAAACGAATAATACAAATTCAATATTTAGTGAACAATATGAAGCAACAATATTTACTAAATAATTTAAATCTAAATACCAGAGAAAAATGATACAAAATTACAAGCGAGAAAAACGATACAAATTTGTAAGTAATACTATTAACACAAATCATACAAATTCAATATTTAGTGAACAACACGAAACAACAATCTTTACTAAATAATCTAATACTAAATAACGTTTAGTTTAAGAAAATATATTAAGAATATATATAACCGAGAAGAATGATAAAAATTAAAAACACTATTATAAACTCGAATCATACAAATTCAATAGTCATGTCGTATTTTTTGGAAGTTGATTGAATTTCTGATAGTTATATTTGCTCATTTGACAACATCTGCAGACTTAGTTTATTTGTGGGAATATTGTTTTAATTTTCATTCTATTATTATTTACGTAAAATTGATTATGAATGTTAAAATCATGGATTTTGAATCAAAAATAGAATATTGAATATTGTCAACTGAAATAATTTTTCAAATGTTTGAATTATTATGTTTCAGTAGTAATAACATAATTTTTGTGGCGTAATAATTTAATGTGGAAATATATGTTATGCATGTAGATTGATGTTATAAAAAATATTAATGGACTCATTTTGTTCGTTGTTTATTACAATATTGTATTTTTCTTTACATTTATGTATGAAAACATATTTATAGCTGATTAACATGAAGTTTTGATATTTTTATTAGTTGACTTATATTTTGGATTAAATATTTTGGGATTAATTGGTATATGTATGAAGTGTACTTGGGGCATAATTGGTGAAATGTGATTAGGGCTCATGTGGGGTGCGATTGTGATTACACCTCTGCGATGTGTGATTAGATATTATAAGTATGGATTTATATGTTCAAGTATTATTTGTCATGTCACCAAGAGGAACCAAGTATGAGACTATTTTTTATAGCAGTTGAGCTATGTGGCTTGTCGAATGTGATTCTTGATTTTTGCTATCCATGATGCTTATCATCTGAATTATTTGGTATTTGGTCATTTATATTTTTCTTGTTAAGTATATTGTTTTCTGTCATATTGTATACTTCTCCACTTTTTATATTTTTTTCAGGATAATCTCGGAGGGAATGACCAAAATTGGTATTTGAGAAATCAAAGATGGAGGAATCTTGATATAATTTTTAACTTTTATTGGTATTTGGTGATCAAAATTGTGATTATAAATTTATTGAGGCAATTAGAGATATATTTTTGTGTTTGAAAATATTTGTGGTTTATTGTAA